ATCGGATTTTCGTTCTGCAATAGTGTCATTCATTAAGCTCCAAGTTGCATTTTAGCCGTCCTGACAATTATAACAGTTTTAGTCGTCCTGGCAGTCATGACATTTTAGCCATCCTGACAGTTTTTCCGGCAATTTCTGGTAAGTTAATAAAAGCACCATCGCAGCTAACGGATTTGCTGCAACAGTCAACTGAATGTTTCTGCGGCCTTTATCATTCATGAGACCCTAAAACTCTCAAACGATTCATTTATACAAACCTACAGTGCAAATGCGTAGCAAAAAAAAGCATGCGAACAAGCGGCTTGTGATAAAAACTCGCATGACAGTGAGGAAATAAAACTTACAGTATCCCATTTTGCCATTAGCCTTTCATTGTCAAACTTGGCGAACTCGGCTCGGTCGTGCAAAACAGTAAGTAGTTTCCATACCAAAAGCAATATCAAGCCGAGTATGACAATGCCAGCTATTACTCCCAGAACAATTGCGAGAACAGGCACTGGTGGCGGGCAGTCTGAAAAGCAAGCGAAAAACTCACTTCTACTTTTTTTATGCACTGTTCTCTGCACGAGATACTAGCCGCTAGTACGTAGCATAACTTGGCTTGGCATAATTGCTCGCTGGGGACATTTTGGTAACACTACCAAAACGAGGGACAATCTGATACATTACTAACATGAGAGCGATTATCGTAACACTGCTATGCCTCAGAAGCAAAATCCGGAAGCAAACTGCGAGCTGGACATTAAAATCTATATCTGGGTGGATTGAAAGGCTACCTTTTTCTTCTTTCACCCAAACTGTAAGATTATCAGTCCTTTGGTCTTCGTAGTAGAGAAAATAGAACGTGCAATCATCCGACGGATCCACAAACTGACATTCGGTTGTCTCATTCAAAACTAAAAATAAAAAAATTGAACAAGCGAATGTGAAAAATACTGCCAAAACAACTTTGCCATTTCTCAGAAATGCGAGAATCTTTGTTCACATATCAGTTCGACTCGGCATACCTGGCAATTCCTTAACGGGGATGACAGTGAATGGACAATCGGCGCACTGTGTTTCATTATACGGGCCAGTCTGCCATTGCTGACACATTACACAGGGTTTGTGCTCAA